GGGTAAAATGAGGACCCAGATTGTGGGGGCGATATGCTGACTCTGTAAACCGTTTAGAGAGGGCTGAAAGCCCTATGAAGCGGTATAAGTCTAACTGCTATTGCTATTGCTAAATTCAGCAGGCTCTGGAGAACTAGTAGTGGAAACTTTGAGTAGTTCGGAGAACTGGCAAATATCACCTCTGGATGGCCCCAGAATAGGGTGGGAATGGAGATTTTGCAGTATTCTTCCCCTGCCACACCCACCAAGCCACGCCCACAGAACTGGTAGTAAAAAAAATGATTTTTACCTCTGGTCCAGAGTCCTGAAATCATACCTCCTCCAGTTTGCAGAAAAACCTCTCTCCACAGAACTGGTCCCTGGTGCCCAAAAAAGTAGAGGCTGCTGACTTAGAAGCTTTTATTTTGGTTTTATTAAATGCAGCTTATTGATTCACAATTTGCCTTGGTCCTGCAAAGCCTCCCTCCCCACCTGCTTTCTTGTCAGCCTTTTATTATTTTGTCATGTTTTGATTCGACTTTTAATAGGAATGAAGAAATGTGTGGCTCTTTTGGTAGTTCCCATATTTCTCAGTATTGCAAGTGCTAAATAGGGCTTTTGGCAATTAAGCTCAGTATCAAATGGAGAATCACAGGTGCCGTATACTGAGCCACAACATTCAGTTATGTCAAACTAGGGGATTCAATAGTTGGAAGAGAAAATGAAAATTGCCAAATTAATTCTCTCCTTTGAATTGTCTTCTTGCTGCTTGGGATTTATTTTGGCTTCAGGTTGTATTAGCCACTGTGCAATGGTTTTGCCAATTCAATATGACCAGACCCTGTTTTCTGTGATACAGTTTCTCAAGTCACATGTTAGAAAATATAATTGGCATCCTCTGAAAGTTGGCTCTTTCTAAGTAAAGTAAAGTAATGTGCAAGAGGGCTATGTTGCAGAACAGCACTTCACAGAGTTGCTTTGAAAAGATATCCAGATGTCCTGATACACCTGTACCTACAAGGGTCAGAATCATACTTGTGATTCTCTATGGAACTGGAAGTTGGAAGTGAAAGAAGTACAACAGGAAGAGTATTGATGCTTTTGAACTTTGGTATTGGAGAAGACCCCTGACAATACCATGGACAGCCAAGAAAACAAACAAATGGATGATAGAATAATAAATTAAATTTGAACTCTCGGTTGAGGCACACATGACCAGGCTCAAATTATCCCAATTCAAACACATTATGCAAAGACTCAACTCCCTGGAAAAGACTCTAATGCTGAGAAAGATGGAAGGAAAAGAAAAAGAGGATGACCAATAGCAAGGTGGATAGCCTCAGTTAGAGTAGCAATAAATCCACTGTTGGACTTCGGACAATAGTTGGGCAAATTGGTCTCATGGTTACAGCCAGAAGCCAAGAGACTGAAAGTTCTAGTTCTGCTTTAGACATGAAAGATGACTCAGTGACTTTGGGTCAGTCACTTTCTCTCAGTCCAATTCATCTTCACAGGATTGTTGCTGTGGAGAAAATAGGAAGAGGAATGCCTGCTGTTCTGTCCCAAGCCTCTACAGTATATATGGACACAGATTTGGCTGTCTGCCACAACTAAGGAGAGAGATAAGCAACTCCTTGGCTGGGGGCCCAGAAAGCTATCTCTATGAAACAAGGCTTGAACTCACGAAATTCTCCCAATCTTTCTCTACGGCTGGATCAGTAAATTGTTGTTTCCTGCAAAATTCCCCTCCCGTCATCCCACCTATAAGCTCTCCGGGAGGGGCCAATCAGTAGCCACCTGTTCTTATTTCCTTCTGTGACCCTTTTTCCAAAGCTGCTCCCTCCTCCTCGCAGCCGCATATGTACATCAGGGACAGCCTCCCTCTGTTCTTCCTCACTGCTCCCTGACTCAGACGCCACCTGGTGGCCAACAGGCCTCTCTAGTCTCTGCTCTGACTCTGAACAACCCCCAGAGTCTTCCTCAGCCTCCAGGGCAGTCCCATAGTGTTCATCGCTGTCAGATTCCACCAACAGCTCAGCCGGCTGGTGAGCTGGTGTTGGGCCACATTCAATTATTTATAAAAATAATAATACATTTGGAAAATAAGTGGGAAAATGGAGAATATCTATGTAGTCACTAAGAGTTGACAAAGATTTGACGACATGTCATCATCATCATCAATCACTCACCAGCTGTGTACTTGTATTCCTCTGTATTCATTTCAGGTTGGGTTGATTCTGATATAGGATGATAATATTTCAGGAAAGTCTGCTGAAGCTTACAATTTTAACTTTCAATAGTCTGTATTTCATATAATACTGCTGGTACACTTGAGACTGAAAAGAGATTGCAGGTGATTAAATATAAAATAAAGACTGCATGCTTAAAAGTTAACCTTGGAAAGCCCACTTCTCTTCCTTCCAGTCTGTGATAAGTCTTTCAACTTAATGCAGATTTTGTGTTCCAATTCCCCATTTTATCTGTCCTCTTTTTAAATACCGTGAATAAAAAGTATGGTTAAAATGTCTGAATCAGTTAACAAGAACTGATAGCTCTTGCTAAACAACCCTCAGATTTAACATACATTGTTCTACCTGTTCTCCTAATTCTGGGATAGGCAAACTTTTAAGTGTGTAGAGAGGCCCATTTAACATGTTGCATAAGATGATGTATAAATTTATCACATAGATGAGCAGGGCAAGAAGGTGTTAATTCACCTCAAGAATGGAACTGTGGGAGTGTTGGATTTTATTAATTCTATTTTAGTGCTTGCACAAGAAATGAGGTTTTTTGCCTAAAATGGATGGAAACCACATTGTCCTTTTCAGCAGTCACAATCGCTGAGCCTCCAATTACAGGTGGTCCTTGACTTACAAGGATTTGTTTACTGACCATTCAAAGTTACAATGGCACTAAGAAAATTGATATATGAGTAGTCCTTGTGCTTAAGACCATGGCAGCATCCTCACAGCCACATGATCAAACAAGTTAAGTATTTATGACAGGAATGTGGCATAGGGGAGACATGCTAGCAGTGTTTCAATATCTAAAGGGCTGCCACAAACAAAAGGGAGTCAAGCATCTGAGGGCAGGACAAGAAGCAATGGATGGAAATTAATGAAGGAAAGAAGCAACCTAGAACTAAGGAGAAATTTCCTGACAGAACAATTAATCAGTGGAACAACTTGCCTCCAGAAGTTGTGAATGCTCCAACACTGGAGGTTTTTAAGAAGAGATTGGTCTGAAATTGTGAAGGGCTTCCTGCCTGAACAGCAGAGTTGGACTAGAAGACCTCCAAAGTCCCTTCCAACTCTGTTATTCTGTTATGACAGTTGCAGCATCCTGGGATCGTTGATTGCCATTTGCAATCTTTCCAGCTAGCTTCCAACAAGCAAAGTTAATGGGAATAGCTGGATTCAATTAACAACCATGTGATACACTTAACAACTATAGTTATTTGCTCAACCATGGCAAAAAAGGTTGTAAAATTGGGTACAATTCATTTAACAACTGCCCTAGTAATGAAAATTCTGGTCCCAATTGTGGTCATATGTCAAGGACTACTGTATTCCAAAAATGGTAT